CTTATCAAAAAGAACAATAACAATAAAATAAATGAAATACCACGCCAAAACACTAATAAATAAATACGAATAGTGATTTCCTTTAACCTAGGCCCTTACAGCACGTTACGTAAAAAAAAAAGAAAATAAAAAATAAATAAATAAATTAAATAATTAAATGAATAAATAAATAATAAATAAAACTTTTGGAAATATCGTTTATTATGACACGTAATCAACGGACGTGATGAAAACGCGCCGAAATAATATCGTGAAAAAACGAAGTATGATTTTATGCGGCGCGCTCGTGCACGGAGTGGTACATTAATGCATAGGATAGATTTTAGAGATAGATAAAAAGAAATGGAGTTGCTAACATAGTGTTGCTATTCATTAAAAGATGGAAAATGTGTCCTGTTGGACGCTCGGATGTTTGTATGCACACCTGTATATGTTTGGACGTGTACCTCGATTCACACTTCGCATTCAATAAACACCATACGCACGTGGAGGGTTATCGTAATCTGGCACGCGCTCAACGCACAATAACATTACATACATACACCGCACGAATAGCACGCGACTGTGACGTACATACTACACGGCACACACACACGCAACACACCCACACACACACAACACCAACACACACACACACAACACACACACACACACACCACACGCTACACGCACAACAAGCACGCACACACCACATCACCGGCCAACCAACAATAACAGAGACATTGCACACACACCCACCAGACCACACACACCACACACACAACACAAACACATCATCAACACACACATCATCACCACACACACACATACAGGCACATGCACACGCACAACACACACAAACATACCAGGCACTATTGCACACACTACACACACACACACAACACACACACACGACACACACTGCACTACACTTACCACCACACATAACATCATGCCACACAATACACACACACACACACATAGAGGCACTCGCTATGCACGCAAGCGCGTACGCGCACACACAAGTATTACAACACAACTCACTACTCCAAATTGTATGTTCTAGTATTATATTTATCTTTATTACTCTATATATATATAATATATATGTATATTATATATATATATATATATATAAGTCG